ATATATACTATCCGACAGAGGCAACTCCTCTAGAGGAAAACTGAACAGTAAGCAAATAACTTGTAATTTACATGTATGTATCGCTTGTAGTTAACACGATTTTCCCCTTTCTGTTCCACGTAAAACTATTCACCAACATTTGTGTCTATAATAAGCGTTTTAGCGACTTCAGCAGTAAAAAAGCTGAACAAGGCATACCCCTGCCGGTACGTTGTAGCCTGATAAAATGATATCGGACTCGAGTATACGGCCTGTGCCAAGTGCAATCGGCAAAAGGCGATGACTCTCACGAGTACACGCTCGAAGGTACGTGCACCCCTCTAGAGCGCGGCAAGTTGGTCGAGGGCCCAACCGAGCTTGAAGAGATAGCAGCTCCTTACGAAGGCGTTCCTGGCATTCTGGATGCGATGCAAGGTGATACAGTAGATAGATCATTGAATAAGCTGTCTAAAGCACGACACATCGAAAAACGGGAAAATACTTTTAATAGGATTTTTGTAAAGATGGCAATAGATGTAACTTAGCCGTATTTAAAGTAAATGACTCTTCGTATTCCAATATTCATTTGCTCCGCCAGTGTCGTAATATCGTAAAATCGCTAAGCTTTGGTTATCTTTGGGTGTAATGTTTTCGAGACGCGGCGTATCCGAAGGGTATTAGTCGTTTTTATTATTCGTCTTATTAGACAAAAATCGTTGACAGGGTAATATGCACACATCGTGATCGGCAGTGCGTAGGGTCTTATCTCAATGAAACAGATGAACCACTCTAGAATTTAAAGGTTAGATCCTAATTTAATTTTTTAGAGTTTTAGATTGTGCAATATTTTGATATATGAGTTACTGATTAGTTACTGCCACTCATGCAAATAATTTAAACGGGCGCTGGTATAGAAATGGCATACCGTATCAATTCCTGCCAGGAAAAGATCCATAATCATTGTGTATACATCGCGTTTATCGCCAGGCAGTGCGAGGAATTGTTGAAGAACTGTTGCCGTTTCCGTGGTGTTGGACGTTGGAGGATGCTCTTTTAAAAAACCGTTAACAATTCTGGAATTGCCAGACAATCAAATTAATTAACTTATAACGTTTCTCCGCGAACTGATCAATGCTAAAGTGGGATTTTTCATATTTATCAAGAAGGTAATGTTATCGTATAGAATAATTGTTTCCCGATATGACTGCAATTTGTTACAGTTACCTTTACTGCTACAAAATACTTAGGAAAAACGTTCACCAAAAGAATCTCATACTCGGCCATGGTGTCCTGTGCTTTGACAAGCTTCTTGTAGATCGGTGTATCCCAATACCTCCAAAATTGTAATCCGTTCTCAGTTAACATTGTCACATTGAGAGTTTCTGCAATTGCCTCTACAAGGCGTTGAGGGCGGTCATTAAACGAGGCTTCTAAGCAGCCCAACCGACCGTCAAGTGCTATAATCCCCGTCGCTGAGTTATATAGGAAAAAAACAAGTAAACAATTATTGATCTAGTACATAGTTTTGAAGGACGAACAAACGAAAGACAAAAAAGAGCGTACAGTTACCCTAAACAGCTCTAAGAGAATTACGCAGTCGATTTTACCGTCTAACAATCATAGCGACAGACCCAGTGACATGTATACAAGCGAAGTCAGAAAACGAGTACGTTATTTCGAAGATAATTACTCACACTCAAGGGCCCATCGGTAAAGCAGCGGTGTGAGATCTTTCTTGCCATCAAAGTATTGCTGGTTGCTGCATAAATCGATCAAATCTTCAGCCGACTCATGAAGTTTATCTCGGTACATTTCCATGTGACCTTGCCGCATCAGAGGAACCTGAAATTTGTTTCGCATCTCAGCCCAGTCTGCTCCATTTCTAATTATACGAATACGCAAAAGAAACATAAGATAGGTAAAATGAGAAATCTTAATAGCAATGATTTCACAATAGCTATATTTATAAGATCCGTTCAAAACAGCCACACAATTTCTGTATCTATGCACGAGGAAACAATTACGAAATAGTGTTACTTGTTGACTGACGTCAACAAGGGAACGCAATGTGTAAGAGGTTGAAGTGTATACCCTTCTCTCTGTTTTATTTATATACTGTATAAATTCATTGATTTTACATGCATGTCGTATATGTATCATATTGTATAAACTCTTGACAGATAACCGACAGCTATTTTGTCAGAGATAACTGAGACCACAGCTTCAATGTGCATAAGAAATTCTCCTATAAACTTACGATGGGAAAAGTCCTCCATTTCTGTATTGCTCGGGCCGTTGTTGCCGATAGCGTAGGAGTGCGCGGTGGCTTAGTCTAGTTGGGTAACGTCCCTCGTTTCTAAACACTGTTTCCATATCCTGCGGGTCGAAAACATGTACAACGATGCGACCAGCAACCACTTTTTCAAGCACAAGCGGACCAAACATTTTCCTCATCTTTCGGGCGTTTATATGCATTTTCGTGATATCAAAAGGGCCTGCAACAATGGAGCAAATTAGCTATATCTGATTATACAAAATACTGCGCAGCTAACTTACTCGAAAATACCCGAATGCAACTAACGACATGATATCGCTTGTGTTTACAATGTCATTGTAATTATCATGTTATAATCAATCAAGCAATAAACACTATGAAGAACGCACGCCCGGACTGTACCTGCATTTATTGTTGACACACGACTCATCTTTATATTTAGCTACTATTAGCATCGATTCCAAGAAATAAATAAATGATAACAACGCACCTTTGAGGAAAATCCCAATGCGAATAGTACATCTATGTCCGTCTACTACTACTACTGCTACAAGGTATTCAAAAGTGTATTCCATGAAAACGGACCTTGGACGTGCCATGATGTTGATTGTTGTATTTCAAAAGGCCATGATACGATTATGTTCTTCCCCAGAATCAACAAGAAATACATTTATCGAACAAAAATTAGCTCATTTTCACGGTTTTGAGTTAATCAAAACCAAGCGACCGTCGTTATTCGACCTGTATAGCAGCGAAGGCATCGATTCATCTATAGGCACTTTCAGTGGCTATAAACACCTTATTTATCCGTTGCTTAGTTACCTCCTGGACTTGTCACACGTTTGTTGCAAAATGCAATAACTGTTTTGAACACTGTCGTTGTATTTTCTAAATGAATATGAAACGAATTGAAACCTGTATTAAACCCCCAGTTTAGGTTTTGTGTAGCCGTTTTGTTACCCTTTCATCTTATTCTCGTCAATACGTTGCAGGAATTCTTAACGTCTCATAGGTCTACTGTCATTCTATTCCAGGTAACCCACTTCCATATCAATTACTGAGTTACCTTGTTGTAATTACTCGGTTCGTTTGTCTCAGAAATTCAATTACTTTGCCTCACTAAAACGGGGACTTAGCTATTTAATTATTTTAGCTCTCTAATGGTTGTTGCGAGATCAGTTTCAGTCCGTTCGAAAGGAATCCAAGTAATTTTGCTATCTTGTAGCAGTTGTTCCATTTAGCTGTATTCAGTCTCACTAATTCCGCAATTATACCATGATCTCAAAATGAAACTGATCTTAAGATTGTAAAATATTTTGGTAGTACTAGGCTGAATGCGAGAAATGTTATAAGCCCGCAATGTCAAGATATCTTCTGGTTGAAACTCTTTTTGCCCTTGTCGCTCATCAGATTTCGACCTAAATGACTTCCCCTATCGTCGTTTCCTTGGAAAGGCTCCCATCCTGACATTCTGAATTCTAAATGACTAACCTAGAGCTTTCTTTATATTTCCAAACAAAAAGATCGCAAGCACTCAAACGTGCATGGTCGGCACCACTGGCAAGTTCCACTTCAATTCCATACCCATTTCGTGCCTGCAACATGCGTATATTCCAAATAACCACAAACGATAGCAGAGGGCCGCCCGATAGCTCGAAGCGACGCTAACACACGCGTAGTGACAACAACATTCAATAAATAGAGTATTTACGAAGAAGTTGCTATTTCCAATTTATCATTATGAACAATAGTGAAATACGTATTGCTAGAAGTGTAATTTAATGG